TTCAACCACATTACGTATATTGACTTGCCTATTTAACCAGTGATACAGTATCTCAATTCAACGTTGCACAAGTGACGGCAAGCTGTTAATTCTTAACAGTAAGTGTTTTTCGTGTGGTCGTAGGTGTAAGAAGGGATCCTTGGACTATAGAACGTGTATGAATCCGATTAAGTAAGCTAACTTTCTTGAACTTTTTTGTTATTTAAAAATATTAACTAGAAATTACATTAAATTAAAAAGAATGTACGAAATTTGAGCATAAGTTTGAAAGATCCGATTTATTTTTTATATCCCTATTTACTTATTTTACATCTTGTCATCAAATATTTTAGCACGATAAAAAAAAAATCACAACAAAACATGATAAATATTACTCCGATAAAGATAGGTTTGCAATATTTTTTATAATAAATATGGAACTTTACATTTTTTAATGTTGTATTTAATTAAAGTTTATTGCGAATTTCACATATGATGATACAAATGAGTTTATAGTAAATTTTACAGAGGAACCCGGTGACCCTGCCGATGAAGCAACTAAATATCTTCTCATATCTTACAACAAGACTAAAAAGGTAATGGCAATTCGTATAAGTTCACCATCAAAATATATTCGAGGGTAACATGTGACAAGCCATCCTTTACACTTAATCCCACTTATGATGAGGAACGCGACGTATTTCAAATTAACTTTGCAGATTCCATTTCCACGACTAAATTCCAAAAAACTGATATTGAGGATGTCGAGATAGAAATAGATAATGAAGGAAAACCCATTACAATATTATTTCGCAACGCTAGTATCAAGATGGCAAACATACTAAAATAAGTAGCAGGGAAATATCATTTATCACCATTTATTAAAAAATTTGATCTTCAATAATGCAAAAATAAAACAAGGTGCTTTTTTTTCATTTGAAAATTTTAAGTTTATTCTATAAGGTGCAGTTCTCGAAGAGGTTCTGGAATTACTATATATGGGTCTTCGTAGTACCAAACATACCTTAAAACGATCCAGTTTTCTTCACATAATTCTTTCTTGAGTTGATCCCATGCTTGCTGTTTAATGAAATTATCAGGATTTCCTCGGTGAAAGAATTCAATGTATTTTTCGTGTTGGTTATCCTTGTAGTTCGATTGCAAAATCTACATTCTGGATAAAAGATAGAATTCTAATCCCATTGAATTTTGGGTGTTTAAAGAAAATCAGGTCTGCGATTTTTAGATGACGGTGATCCAAGATATTCTGCTATAGTTTCACGACATAAATTTTCACACATATACAGTTAACTCTCAATAAAAGAATTTGTGTACAAATAATCTATACACAGGGTGAATTCAAATTTTTTGGAAATAAATTTTTTAAATTAAAATACAAATACGTAATACAAAAATACAATATAAAATATTTTTTAAATTATATGAATATAAAATTGAAGTTTAATAAAAAATTTTTTTTTATTTTTTAAATTTTTATAACAAATAATAAATTTTAAAAATTGTCTTTTAGCTTATGAAATTATTTCAAAATAAATTTGTTATTGAAATTAATAAAATAGTTATAAAATGAATTTGGCATTTCCAGTTTAATAAAAAATTTAAATAATTAATAATTTTCTTACTAATATGTTTTTTAAAAAGCAAAAATTTTAATCATTATCAGAAAAAACTATTGTTTTTATAATTATTTTTTAATATAAATTTAATATGAATGGAAATTGTAATTTTTAGATAAAAAAATAGTTTAAATATCATTTTTATTTGTTATCAATCACAAGACATTTCTCCTTAACCAAGACTAAAATATTATTTTTATTATATAATTTATGTTGTGTATAATAACAGTAGAATCAAAATGTCCCATAACTGTTATATAATAAAAATTTATAAATATATTTTTTATAATCTAAAGAAAATTTTTATTTAAACATTTTTTATAAAATAACTTATTAATTTTTTATAATAATTTTTTTAAATAATAATTCATAAAATAATTTTCAATTCTTTATTATATTCTTTAAGATATCACAATTCTATTTTATTTTTTTTTTTCAAATCTTTCTTATCATTTGACTTAAATCAATTAGATCTTAAATTTGAAAAATACTTTTTATTAAATATTACAATATATAATATTAGTTTAGAAATATAAGATCTTAAAACCAAGTATTATTTCAAATATGTCTTATCTTATTTTTTCAAATAAAAAAATCTATTATTATACAATTTTCACTCAATTCAAGACATTCTCTTATTTTTTTTTTTTAAAGTGGAACATGTGCACGGCATGTGATCTTTATTGATACATTTAATATTCAGACAGATACCAAGTATCTCTACAAACTAATCAGAAATCAATTGGTACATGAATATCCTTTATGTCTCTACAGTTAATCTGCAGTTTAACATTACCTAGTACATATATTACTATAAGACTAGCTACGCTAACCACTTTTTTTACCTAACTATATATTCAACATCAAGTAGATGTGT